TTTAGTCTTTGACGTGAAAGTTATTTTTTTCCCAATTAAAATGTAAGTGGGAGATATACAGTTAAATTGCACCATCAGTCTGTCAACTTTGGGGCATGCAACTATGCTTACCTGGCTGAAAAAGAAAATGAAGAAAGTAAAATAGAAGAAAATAGTTTAAACTGGGGGATAAGTCATGGTATGAGTACTTATAGTAATATAAGTAGACCATGGAAATCCACTGTATGTTTGTCATACACTTGCTAATTTTTTTCATTAAGGTTAATCCCTGTACATGGTATAACATGAAAAATGACAGCCTTTACAATTATTAGATCCTTCAACTTATTTCAAATACTTTCTTATTTTTATGAGATTATAAGAATTTTTTAAACTTTGAAGCTGTATCCATTGTCTGATTTCCTTCTTTTTTCTTCTGCTTCTCACATTATTGTGTTTAACAATGGTATGGAGGCATCTTGGGGAAGACAGAGCAGAGTTATGGTGTAAGGACCAGCCAACTCTTCTCAGAAGCCATCCAGTTACCTTGTCAGGAGAAGTTATTCATTCCACTCTCTAGAATTATCTCCTAAAAGAAAAAGAAATTAGTTTCCTGCTCTTTACAGAACAGTACCTAATCTTTTACTATTATCCTAATTAATGCTTCTCACACTGTCTTAGAAAATATTTGTCACTTAATGAATTACTAACCACATTCATTGGCCTGTACTAGTTGAAAAAGATGTCTTGTTTACTTAGTCAAAGCGCTATCTCTGTACAATGGCATTGACGGTAGAATTGATCAGAGCCTACATTTAAAAGAAGCTGAGAGAGACACATCAGAAATAGTAAGCCTTTTTATTTTCCTTGGTGTACCAGGTAGTCAGGCAAAGTTAATGTATTTCCTTATATATTATCTTGATTACATTCTGTTGGGAACTAGTCTCTGGTATTTATTAGGGTTTTGGTAAAGATTTTGGCCATTTTCCATTTAAACTAATGTTTCCAATGAAAAGATTCTACAATGCATGTAAATTATATAAGAAATATTCATCTGTCAATGTACTTTTTTTTTTTTTTTTTTTCGAGACAGAGTTTCGCTCTTGTTACCCAGGCTGGAGTGCAATGGCGTGATCTCGGCTCACTGCAACCTCCGCCTCCTGGGTTCAAGCAATTCTCCTGCCTCAGCCTCCTGAGTAGCTGGGATTACAGGTGTGCTCCACCATGCCCAGCTAATTTTTTGTATTTTTAGTAGAGATGGGGTTTCACCATGTTGACCAGGATGGTCTCGATCTCTTGACCTCATGATCCACCCGCCTCGGCCTCCCAAAGTGCTGGGATTACAGGCGTGAGCCACCGCGCCTGGCCGTCAATGTACTTATATAAGCAACAATCAGTTTCAAAACTGAAATGGATTAAGTTAGTTCTGTAATACACACTGAAAAAGTGACAGGAACTAAAATAAACTGTGGTGCTGTAAGGTTATGATTCTTACAATTTTTATATTAAAGTTGCAAAGTTTCAAGTGCTCAATGCTGCTCTTTACATTAGGGTTGTAGACTGTCTTAAGCCTGAGAGTTCTATCTGATTATATGATTGATAGGGTAGAGGCTGTGCCTTGTATAATACTTTTCAAATGTTGGCTCTCACAAACAGAGAGAGAGCAAACATTAACTAGCTCTCTGTTGAGATATCTACCACCTACCTGTCAAGTTAAAATCATGAAATCTATAAATTTGGAGAGGAGAGCTTTATTTCTTACGGAGAGTGGCAGCCAGGAGGGTGGCCATCCTAACTGAATAGGAAGTATAACCTCAGGCAGAGACCAAAAGCAAGTTCTTCAAGGGAGGATAACGTAGGAATTTATGTTGAATGGATTGGCCAAGTGTATATATTTAACAGGTTGTAGGAGGAGCTGTAGATACCCATGAAGGGGTGTATGTGCATGAATAGTAAGCAGACATGCATATTACATGCATCCCATGTTCATTTTGTGGGGGAGACTTTCCATTTAAATGCCTTCCAGTTGGGCCCTTTATGTCAAAAGGGGAAGCAAGGACATGAAGGCATTCAGTGCTAAGCCTCTGTAAACCAGACAGAACCAGAAGATGGTCAGTGGTCTCTTATCTGGAGAAAGTTACTGAAATCAGTCTTTTGTCCAATCAAAGCTGTAGTTGTGGATTGTGGAACAGAGGGGTCAGTTAGGATCTGGTGGCCAGTGAGCTACGATTGTTTCAATACTGCTTATCTTGAGGCCAGTGCTTGTTTAGCTGGTAGAGAATAAGAAAAACCTGTGGCAATAAGATCATAGTTTATTCTATGAGGGTAGGAGTATGTGACTTAAGCCTTTTCTGGCATAGCCTTAGGTCTTGTTTATTACTTGGTACTTTATTGCCATAGGAAGTCTCTTCCATTAGTCTTATAATCTCTATTTTAATATATCTATGTTGTTTTTTTCCCTCCACTTGATTCCAGAAAGGACTAAAGTTCATTTCATAAGTACATATAAGATAAACTTAAATAAAAATAAGGAAACCTTAAATAAAAATGATCTATATTAAAACATTTCCAATTTTGAGGGTCAAATAGATTTTCCAAGAAACCTTAACATTAGTTATTCAAAATAAGATTTTTTCAGAAACTGTGTTGCAAATTGATGTACATCTCTTTAGAAAATAGATTTCACCATGGCATTCACACTTTGTGTTGCTCTGTGTGTGTTAGGGTTGGGGTGAGGGGAGCATGGTTAATGCCCAAATCCTTCCCAAGTCTCATCAATGAATAGTCTGAGGGAAGGAGGGTTGGGAATGTGTATATTGAACAAAATTTTCTAGATGATTCGACTTGCCCCTGGGCTGAAAAGCAGTTTAACAATATTAACTCTGTATTTTCTGAAGTAAAGGTCGTACTTAAAGTAACTTGTGATTTTGGAAATTTTTACCCAGAATACTGACTGATGAGATGGCCTACCCCAAATCCAGAATTTAGCTTAAATTCCACCTCCCCTTGTTTTCCTTAATCTTTCACCATATTTTCCAAATGCTTTATACCTTTCTTCTCATATGTACTGCAATTTGTCTTGCATTATATTTATCTTTGTCATTTCAGCTAGCATATGGACTCATGGATGTCTGGTTGGGAGGAGGGTGGACAAGCTATAAGTTTTTTCATCTTTCTAATCTTTATTATGCTTTAGTCAATAGTATATATTCAATAGATGTTGAATGAATTGGATTAAATATAAACATTAAGTGTTATTAAAAGTATGATTAATTTTCAAATTATCAAATTATTATATTCTCCTCCCTATTAAAGGAAAAATCAGTGGTGTTTTTCAACTTTGAACTGAAACTCTAAACTATATGAAATCATAATAATGTGAAATCTTAAACAATATTATTCTTCAAAAATACAGTAACATAGGCTTAATTCACAAAAACTGCAACTTGCTCTCATCTTTTAAGCAATCATTTTTAATGTTCTAACCAAATCCTTATACTAAAACAAACAACTGCTGAATGTGATACAATAATGGAAAATATAGAAAAACTCCATTTTCTCTAGCTCATTGTATGTGAAATCATTCTTAAGAATCACTTCCACTTCTGTTTGAATAAAAAATAGCCAATAAGGCAATTCTAATTGGTTAAACAACAACAACAACAACAACAATAAAACAAATCACCAAGGCAAATGACTTTTAAAAGAGTTGCCAAGGTTAAAAAATATTATAAAAATATCTAAAAACTTACACATGTCCTTGATACAGTTTTGTCTTCTGTCCTCTTAAAATTTCATTAGCTTTTCATGTTGCTTAGAAATCAAGGACATCTGAGTGGCAGGTCTTGACCTAAGGAAAATATTTTTGATGTTTTCAGTCCCCTTATTAAAGACCCTGTTTTTCATTGCAGCTGAGGGTTGGTGTAGGCAGGATAGGAAACCTTACAGATGGTGGGAGGCACAGAACCTTCATAAGGGCTCAGGCAAGAATATCCAGATGACAGCAGACAGGAGAGAGAATAAAGGATGCCAGCCTCCTCATTGTGAGTTCACGGTGGCTGCCTTGGTCGGGGGCTTTTGGCATGGTTCTCATGAATTACACAATCTAATCTACTTCTGTACAGAAGATTTTAGAGGCACAGTTGAGTATGCTAAAATGGCATTACTACCTACTCAGAACATGATGCTTCTGTGTGCCCATATGCCCAACTTATTTTCAAATGTATTTAAAAAAATAGAAAATAAGCATTCTTAGTACGAGAGACATACAATAAAAATGCACCTGACTCTATCCATGTGTGGGTTTCTTGGGAGTTTTGTCAGATTCCAGAGGACCCATGTTTGTAGCACATGAGTTCTCTGGTCATAGACCGTTGATGTGGTCATAGGCACATGGTGCCTAGCTCATGAGCCAGTAAGATTTGTTTCCTCCTAAGAATTTAGAACCATAGTCCAGAGAGCAGGCCTGGGCATTTGAACTAGGAAGTAAGGAAAGCCACACTGGGAAAGCCTTTATGGGCTCTGTGTACAACTCAGCAGAAATGCCAATCTACAGAGAAACGTCAGAGAATAAAGTCGATTCTTTGAAAGAGAAGTAGTGATGGCTCACTTAGTTCCTGAGAGCTTTCCTACTCATGAGGAGATCCAGTTGTATTTTCCACCATTGGCATTGAGATCCCCACCTCCACCCCAACATTTAGCTACATTTTCCTTTACATTAATATCAGTGGGTTTATATTACTTACAACCAGAAGTTTCCTGACAAAGACAGAATTATCCTGTTAGAACATGTTCTCTTATATCTCTGTCGGGAGCACATTGGAAATGAACATTATTCTACTGTCAGTTTCTCAGCATTAATTACATATTATGACCTAATAATTTTTCAGAACGTAATTGCATATAGCTGATGACAGTGGCTTCTGGAGCTGCTTCATGATGGTGTTAGAAGGTCCTGCCAGATACCCTGGAGGGGATGGTTTGTCCTTTCTGTAATGATGAAAATAATATCTCTCCTGCAGGTTTAATAACAAAATGCAGTGCAAAAACTCCAGGTACTAGCCAAGTCATGTGACATGAGACATGGGATCAGCTTATCTCACAGACCCAGACTTAGAGCCCTGTGCCAGCCTGACAACGAGTGGACAATCCAGGAGGATTTGAGTATTTCCTGCAGCTATTCAACAAATACAGAAAGAGGTGGTTTCCTTTGACTTACTATTTACTGTTTTTATGCAACAACTTTCCAGTTGTCATCTGGAGAAACTGAGAAGAAATATGAAATCATCTAGTTCCTCTTTGAGACAGTACTTGGGATCCTGTGAATGCAGGGATTTCCTTTTTGTCCTACCTGCAGGAAGGGGCATTCAAGACTTCTGGATCATAGCCTTGGTCACATTTTAAAACTTGACATCATGTCTAAAATAACTGTATTTAAATTTTGAATTAACTTGAAAATGAAACTACTAGACCATGTAATTTACCTACTAAATTGGGACACTTTTGAGAATAAAAAGGGTTGCTGTTAATAAAATGAAAACAACAGGCTTGGGAACTGACCCAAACAAACTGGATGATAGTATTACCCTATTCTTAGGTTTTGCATTCTTGGTTTCAAGTAACTCACATATTAGGAAACCCAAGAATTTTGGCATGGCTTTTGATCAAATCAAATTTTAGCTGCCATTTTGGAGTACTGCCCATTATCCCACCACTAGTCACTAGCTGAATACACAGGCTTCTCTAGGGCTTCAGCTTCTTCACCTTTACAATTTAATGAGTAACTCCAAGTCTCTTCCAGCACTGAATAGTCTATAATCAATGGCATGTCTATCTAAGAGTTTTACTTTTTGGAGAAATTTGTATTACTTTGATTTAGATTCAATACAAGATAGAGAATATGAATATCCATGAAAGAACATTGTAAATAAGTTTTGTACACATTATAAAGTCATGCTGGCAGCATGGTGTAGCAACAGACACCTGGACTGGAATCTAGCCACTTATTTCCTCTCTGAATTTGCCAAGGTTTCGAAACTATCCTGAATGCCTAAGCTGGAATACTTTCAACTGTAGAACAGGCATAAGAATAGCTACTTTTTAGTAATATGAAAAGTCATATGTAGTGACTTTATTAGAAGGTATCTAATATATGCCACAGAAATAGATGTATATGATCAATAAATACTACTCCCTCTTCCTATTAGGTTAGTGTCATTATTGAATATGTTATAAATGTACACTGCATGTTCTCATAGTTAGAGTATGAATATTGCCAATGAGTTACTCTATTCCTAGTATTGGCTTTTACTGTCACAGAGAGTAATTACGTTGGACGGAAGCACATGCATGATTATAGGCATCATCAGAGTCAAACATACCTGGACCCCAAAGCCCTCTTTCTTCTTTTAGATCTATGGCAGGGAGGTTACATAGGCTCACAGAGTCTCTCTCCCCTCATCTACAACAATGAATGAGATAATGTGATAGATGACATGGCACAAGTCCTAGTGTATATTCAATAATATGCATTATTGTTATTGCTAAGATAATATGGGAGAAGAGAAATTAAAGTCTCCATTTAACAGGAGGAAGTGAGATAGATGTTTCCATAAGAAGAGCTTATAGTGCATGTAGACTTCAGCAATGAATATAAGTGAAGAATAATGGTTAAGAAAACAAGACCATGAGCATGTCAGCAGCATTATGCTATTCCCACTAGAATAATAAAGGCCATTATTCCACTGAGAATAATGCCTTTCATGGTCACTGTGGAACCATTATGGACTGGTCATGATGCTATGACTTCTAAGAAGTCTAACAGCTTCAGATTTACAGTAGGGCTGTATATGTGTTTTACCCATACAGGGCTCCTGACGGTGAAATCAAAGGCTTGGATTGATGAATTCTTCAAACAATATGTATTAGTCTGTTTTCACACTGCTGATAAAGACATGCCCCAATCTAGGCAATTTCCAAAAGAAAAAGGCTTAGTGGACCCACAGTTCCACTTGGCTGGGGAGGCCTTACAATCCACAATCATGGTGGAAGTTGAAAGGCATGTCTCACATGGTGGCAGACAAGAGAAAAGTGAGAGTCAACTGAAAGAGGTTTCTCCTTATAAAACCATCAGATCTCATGAGACTTATTTACTACCACATGAACAGCATGGGGGAAATCACTTCCATGATTCAATTATCTCCCACTGGGTCCTTCCCACAACATGAAGGAGTTACGGGAACTGTAATTCAAGATGAGATTTGGGTGGGGACACAGCCAAACCATGTTACAATGTTAAGTTGCTCTTAATCATTTTATTGATGAAGTAGAACAGGCTGATTAGTAATACAATAGTTTTGCCTGAACCTCAGTGACTTGTCTTGTAAATGTTGTTTTGGAGAAAGCCACTCCTACAATTTGTTTATAGCAATGTTTATAAGAAATGTATCATGGAGTATCAGTGATCACATTTAGAGAACTTTAACTGTCATATTAATGAGGACTGACAATGTGGATGATGATGATGATGATCCAACTCATGTGCATCAGAAAAAATTCACAACTTGATTTTTTTTTTATCTGCCTTGTTTCAATTAATCCTAACTTTTAGAAAACAGACAAATGCATGACCCAGACGAGGGTCAAATGTGTCTTTGTTTAGTAAAGATTCAGAATTGTCTCGTGCCAAGAGATCCTTTCCTGAGGACTTTTCCAATTGAATTCAAAGTTTGCCATCCAATTCTTCCAGAGCAAAAGGATCTAGATTTTGTAGATGATGATGATGATGATGATGATGATGATGATGATACCAACTTCTAGTCTCTCCTTCATGTATTTGACAGCTCCTTAAAGTTTCTGGCTATAGCCCAGCCTTCCAGCTCCCTGACTCAGATGGGACCTGTCGGAACCAGGTGGGTGTTAAAATCCCAACTTGCCTCCATTCCTCAGACCCTGGACTTAAATGGGGGCCTCTGGCTCTGTGGATAGCCTCAACCTCATTACCTAATTTCCACTCCAGGTTTGAATTTTTTCTCTGTTTCTGTATCTAGTGATTTCCCATTCTATCTTCTAATCCTGGCCTTAATGTAATTGTATTTGCTATATTTTATTCAACAATTATAAGTGTTTGGAACGGGACCAAGCACCCTTTTTCAGCAGTGTAGTCTCCAGGTTTTTGTATAAATGAAGATTAGACTTCTCCTGATCTTCAAATCTTTCAGAATGCCATGTCTAATTTTTTTTCGTGAACAGGATTAGCAGAGGAAACCAGAGCCAGTATCTAAAACCTCAGAGGCCATCACTGTATAGCAGAGCTAGGCTCTAAAATCTGAGTCCATCACTCTATAGCAGAGCCAACGTCTAAAATCTCGGAGTCCATCACTCTACTATAGCAGAGCCAGGCTCTAAAAATCTCAAAGTCCATCACTATATGGCAGAGCTACGCTCTAAAGATCTCAGAGTCCATCATTTATTGTGATATAGTCCATTACAATATTCTGGGAAAACAAAACAGTCTCCTACCCTAAAATACTTAAAATCTTGAATTAAAACCACCAACCCTAAACGCTGGTGGCAGTGAAACTGCAAATTTTCAACTTGGCGAAGGAACCAGGATTATTTGCTTCACTAGGAATAATCACAACAGATCAGGTAGTATTTGCAGAGGGTTCACTTTTGAGTAGGAGTATGGCGGTCAGCACAAGAAGTTTCGTCCACATCAACTCAACCCTTGAGGAACGCGGAGTGCACGTTAGGATGCAGACGTATGCTTGCCTTGCAGTGTCCAAGTTCCTATCAGTGAGCTGCACTGTTCTCAGATCCTCAGGGTCCACAGTCTTTTAGCAAGTTTTTGATTTGGTACCCTGAACTATGGGACTTGGTACCTTCACCGTAGCTTCAGTCAAGATGTGGTTGGTGCAGAGGCATTCACCAACACTCATGTGTTGTAGGGTTTTCCTGGATTTGTTTTCCCCTGCAGTTTTGGATGGCCAGTTCTCAGGGGCTCAGTGACACCACCAGACAGAGTAGGATTGTGCTCTGGCAGGGACCGATGAGGCTTGGAGGAGGAGAGATGTGCACAGAATCACAATATCCTTTTTTTTTTTCTCCAGTTTTGGCATTTAAAAATCATCAGATTACATTGTGAATAAATCCATATTGAAAGGTTATTTAAGTCAGTAAGCACCAGTCTGCCAACCACATAAGATATGACGTCGCCTCTATCAGGCTTCTTAAAGAAAAGCAGGCTGACGATCGATCCAGGATGCCAGGACTCGCGTCCTAAAAGTCAGGCTCTCTCTGTTCTTCTGCCTTTACTACTGAGAGAAAGGAGTAGGGGAAACCAAGGTAAGAGCTTTACGCACTTCCACTCTCCCCTCTCATGTTAGCTCTCAGCACTAAAGAGGCAAGTTAGGAAGTAACACAAGTGTCTGTCAATAAACTAAATGGACAAACAGAATGCACTATATTCATATGGTCGAATATCAGCCTTAACGAGGCAGGCAATTCTGACACATGCTACACATGGATGAACCCTGAGGACATTATGCTATGATGGAATAAACTCATCACAAACACTGTATGATTCCACTTACATAAAATATCTAGAATAGGCAAATTCATAGTTATAGAAAGTAGTAGTCACCAGAGGCTAGGAGGAGAAAGGAATGGGGAAGTATTGAATGGGTATAAGGTTCCCGCTTGAGCTGATGACAAAGTTCAGGAGATGGATGATGGTGATGGTTGCACAGCATTGTGAATGTACTTAATGCTGCTGAACTTAAAGCACTTAAAGAGGCTTGTATATACAAAACCACAATTCTTAAAAAGGCGAGTTGAGGGGACTACCACTTCTGGAAAGATGGAGTGGATTCACTTTTTGCTATTTCTCCTGAACGTGCATGATATGTAAAACGAACAGAAGAATCTAAAAGTTGGAGAGAGTAAAGCAAAGCCTCCAGGGACCTTGAGACCCAATAAATGACACAGATGTGAGTTTCCTGGGTTTTCCTTTTGCTTCGGATAACCCCGACTGGGTGCTGCAGAAATTGCCAGCCTGGAAACACACCAATAATTGCAGGCAAAAAAAAAAGAAGAAAGAAAGAAAGAAAAAGAAAGATAGAAAGAAAGCAAGAAAGCAAGAAAGAAAGAAAGAAAGAAAGAAAGAAAGAAAAACACACCTGAGTAAAGGAATTGACATTGAAGGTGCTGGTTTCATATTTGATGGGGGACAGGAAGGGGTGGAGCTGTAATAAGGTGACTTAATCTCTAGGCCTAGGGAGTAGCCCTCAGGTCACTGTGGATGCAAACTTGCTGGAAGGATCTCAAAGACACCCATCAACTCCCCTAAACTTTCCCTTTATTCAGATTATATAAAACTTTTGCCTCACTCTATTTTGGTTAAATAGTACATTTGCATACAAAACGTTACCTCAATTCCAATCTTCACAAAAAATTTCAAAGACTGGTTTAATACAGTACGTAGTGAGGGATTCCTTGGTTATTGCAGTTAATTATAGTGCTTGCAGAAACCTGGCCAGCTCAGGTGATTCTATCCTAAGTTAGTATGATTACTTAGAAGAAACTAAGCCTAGAACTGACATTATTTCAGCACTTCTAAACAAATATCCTGAGAATTTCTAAAATTCAAACCTGGTAAAGGTTAGCTAACATTTAATACTGTGAGAAGAACATTTAACCCCAAAGAAATCTTTAATTGTAAGTCTCTTTGCAGCTCTGTAAACAGCAGGGTGGAGAGTCAGGTGAAGGCTGCATCTGACAAATCACAAACTCTCGTTTCCATTCCTTTGTTTTGCTATCTGTAAAATGGAGATAATAATACAAATTCTTTTAAAGATTAAAAAACATCATGTCAAATACTCACAGTTCTCATCACAAACTTGTAAATCTTGGAAAGTAGGGACTGTCTTTGCCTTTAGAACATTCCAGAAAAACCTAGTCTACTGCCTTGTAGACACTCAGGACTTAACTGACCAAAGCACTGTGTCCAGTGCCGAGCACTTAGTACCAGTCTCTGAGCCACGAAAGACCTGGAAGGCCTTACCTTTGGATCCCTGGGGCCGGAAATCTATACCACCTGGTCACAGGTTCTGTTCTCGATGGCTTAGAAACCTGGCCACTCTCTGATCCCAGGCGGGAATATCCCAGTGGCAGAGGAGATGGGCACAGGTCTTCATTAAAGGATCTGAAAAACAACCATATTATTTCTTACACATCCTCCTTGGAGAATCTCAGAACTATCTTGGCTTCTTCAAATCTAATTAAACCATGAAGCCACCCTATGAACGAGTGGACTTTTAAATCCTTGTCTTGCCAGTTGAAAAACTTGTTTGGTTGAATTATTATGTCATACTATGGCATACTAATTTAGGTATATAAGAAGTGTAAGCAATATTTGACACTTACTCCATATTTTATCCACTGGGTTCTACTTGGCAGTTACCGAAGATGAAAAATTTAGCGCCTTATCATTTATGCCTGCTATTTTTTTTTCAACCTCCCCTAGTTAGCCAAGGGACTTTAATTCTCTAAATCTCAAAGTGGTAGGCTGACTTTAGTGTAAGTAAGATGTACATGTAGTGATAACTTTTTGAGGGGTCTAGGTATTTAATTTAAAATGTCTCTAGTAAGGACAGATAATAATTTCTTTAATCTATACAGCAGTCTCGATTAGGTAGTGGTTAGTAAAAATGTATTTAAAAGGCCTAAATCGAAAGTTAATGAAATTTGTTGTTTATTACACCTACTGTAAAAGGATAACCACAGACTTCATTCTTGAGTGTCTTCACTTGCTTTACATGAATTATTTATCTTATGTCTGGAATTTAATACTTGTCATAGAGCTGCAAATTACACAATCCATCTTGGGTTTTGTAGTTTGCTGTCTACATGGGTAATAAATCTCAGCTATTAGTTTTATTTATTAAACCTAGCTCAAGAAGTAGAGGTTTGACCCCATCTTACATTACGGTAAAAAAATAGATATGGTTAGTTTGAGATGCTGGATTCAGTGCAGCTAAAAAGAAAGCCAATTTAAGTGAAAGGTGAATTAATAAATGCTGTGCCAATCCTGAATGTCAGGATTATGAAAGGAGATTAATGTTCTGTTCCTGCCAAGGCAGAAATCAGAACATGCTGAGCATCAGGTAAAAAGAAATTAATTAAATAATGGTTTCAAAAGTCACTCTGAATCAATGAAACAAACTTTGGAAATTTTAAGAAAGGATCTCTCAGGTATAAAAACCCACCAGCCTCCACTTAGCTGATCTTTTTGGTTTTTTTATTTTTTTATTTTTTTATTTTTTTTATTGCATTTTAGGTTTTGGGGTACATGTGATGAACATGCAAGATTGTTGCATAGGTACACACATGGCAGTGTGCTTTGCTTCCTTCCGTCCCCTCACCTGTATCTGTCATTTCTCCCCATGCTATCTCTTCCCACCTCCTCACCCCCCCGCCCCTCCCCCATTTCCCCCCAACGGATCCCAGTGTGTAGTGCTCCCCTCCCTGTGTCCATGTGTTCTCATTGTTCAACACCCACCTATGAGCGAGAATATACGGTGTTTGATTTTCTGCTCTTGTGTCAGTTTGCTGAGAATAATGGTTTCCAGGTTCATCCATGTCCCTACAAAGGACGTGAACTCATCGTTTTTGATGGCTGCATAATATTCCATGGTGTATATGTACCACATTTTCCCTATCCAGTCTATCATCGTTGGGCATTTGGGTTGGTTCCAGGTCTTTGCTATTGTAAACAGTGCTGCAATGAACATTCGTGTGCATGTGTCCTTGTAGTAGAATGATTTATAATCCTTTGGATATATACCCAGTAATGGGATTGCTGGGTCAAATGGGATTTCTACTTTTAGGTCCTTGAGGAATCGCCACACTG